AAAAGTTAAAAAAAAATTTATTTATTCATGTACTTATTTTATTTTGACCAGAGAGAGACACAGAGAGAGAGAGAAAGTGAGAAAGCAAGCCACCAGGTCCAAGACTCGAATCATGGTTGGCCACATGGGAATGTCCAGTGTCTTAACCACCATGCCACCTGCTGGTCCCCAAAACCAAACTTTTTATCAATGCATAACATGAGAATCACGTCAGGCACATGTGTGTACACTGTGGTGTGGCACGCCCCTGGGGAGTGATTTCTCATTTTCTCTCATGCAAAGCTACCTGTCGACAAGCACATAGCTTTGCAACTGCTCACAAGGCCATGGGAAACGTTTATGAGATCATTGTTTTGGACTAAGCTCCTGCTCGGATTCCAACAGACCAGACCAAAATGGAGTCACTCATGCTCAACTGTCATATCACCCAACTGAGATGTTAAGGAAGCTGGGAGTTGCCTAGATGACTAGACCAGTTATTCCTGAAAACAGGAGATTCCAGTCTGAGTGGGTGCTATAAAAAACAGGCCAGGCACTCTGCGCTCTCTCTGGACCATGCACCTACAAGAGCCCCAGGAACAGGAACTCGGTGGACTTCTTGTCTCCTGAAACCCTTCTTGCCCAGACACATTCCTCCTTTTCTTTCCAGAGTCACTGTATCCACGGTTTGCTTAAGGAGTGTGGGGGTGACACAAGGGTAAAAGAGACGCTGGAAAGCTGACCCAATCGGGCTGGTCCTCTCACATCTAAGAGAGGTGCCCAGGGACCAGCCAGTAGCTAATGGCTATGTCGCTGGACTCCCATGTAGTCGACCGCGGTTCACGTCCCGGACCCGGTGGCTTAAACTCTCACCGGGCACGTGTGCATGTGTGCCCAAGACCCCGAGAGGAGAATGGAGGAGAAGGGATTGTGGCGTGGCCATCCCCCCTGGGGGGTGATTTCTCGCTTTCTGTCTCTCTGTCTTTCTGGCTAGCACATGCGCCCTAGAGCAAAAACTTCTCCCCCCCCCCAAAAAAAGAGAGGTTCCCTGACCACTCCTGGGCATGCGCAGTTAGCAGGTGGTCACAGAGTCAAGACCCTTGGTGGTGGTGCTGTCTTTTTCACCCATGGAATAAATAAGAACTTAAAAAAACAAGCAAACAGACTAACCAACATACTGGCAAGAACATTAAAAAAAAATGAATTAAGCAAAGGGACTCCAGGTGACCAGGAGGCCATTTTGCTCCCTTATCATATAATTTAGCCCATCAGAGGCTCCTTGCAACGGGCCTCTGGGCGACTCTTGCCTTGGCAATCATCCCGGAACCTGCTAACCCTTGCACATTACCGGGTAGCTCGGACTTGGTGGGGTCCAGCAGTCGTACAACCCTGTCCCGAATGAGGTCTTTGCCTTGCCCTGCTGCGCCTCAGGCCCCTGTTCTAGGGGGAGGGCATCCCCACGCGGGCTCACCGGCACCCACATCCACCAGAGAACATCATTCCACCTGCCGAGTCGCACCCACCTAGCCCTAACGACCTCAGGAGGTAGTGGGATCGATCCCCATTACACTCAGGCCACTGAGCAGAGAGAAGTCCCGAGGCCAGCACTTAAAGCTGTACCCAATGCACGACTCCAAAGCTTGGGAGTCTTTAGAGACACAGGTCCGCAGGTTAGACAGCCTGACAACTTTGAGGGCGGAAACACGTTTCCTGACGTCAGTGCAGGGACCCCACGGGTAACCAGATACCTGCCGCCAACGCCTCTCCAGAGCCAGCGTCCCCGCGAGCCCGCGGCGTGCGGCGCGACCTCCCTACACACGAGGGCGCTGTCGCTGCCGCAGTCGGACTGCCTCTCTCGAGCTCGCTCTCTGTTGTCGCGATATTCTTTTAGACCGGAAACACGAACGATCAAAGGTCACGTAAACGGCACTGCCCCGCCCCCGTACGCCTAAGTTCTCGCGCGAGTTCTGTTTCCGCCCTTTTGGCTCTCTGAGTAGCACCATGGCGGTTGGCAAGAATAAGCGCCTTACGAAAGGCGGCAAAAAGGGAGCCAAGAAGAAAGTGTAAGTGGCTACTATCGTGGGCTCCTGCCCTTTGGAGTCTTGCTGGCATCGGCGCGCGGGATCTGGATCGTGGCGTGGGTCGGATGGCGGCGATGCCGGTCGGATCGCGCGGGCCGTGGCGGGTGCTGCACCCCGGCCTGCCAGATCTGGGTGCCGCGTCGGGGCGGGCCGGCTACTTCTCCCTTGGCCTTCTGGGCCTTGCGGCACCCCGCGGGTCGATTGTCGCCGCCGCAGTTCGGGGCTGGCACGTTTCGAAGTTCCGAGCAGGTTTTTGATGTCACTCCGAGAGTAGCAGTTCAGGAAGTCACTGCTCTTGTCCCTTCGGCACCCAGCACCCCTCCCAGGCGCCGTGGGACCGAGGAGCTCCTCGTAGGCCCGCGTGGGGTCCTGAAGGTCTCGGTGACCGGTACGCGCCTCCACTCACGGGAGAGCCCCCTGGGCCGGTGCCCCTTGGAGGACGTGCTGTCGGCGCGGTGGAAGGCCCGCCGGGGGCTGGAGCGGGCGGACGCTCAGTGACAGCGAGAGGAGCTGGAGGGACCCGGGCACCGTCACCGTCCACCCCCCTGCGTCGCTGGGAACCTTCCCGGGAGCGATGCCGATGGCAGTGTTAGCGTGAGGCGAGTTGAAAAGTGCAGTGAGAGTTACTTGAAATGTGATGAAATTTCTTTTTTTTTCTTTTACATCTAGGGTTGATCCATTTTCTAAAAAAGATTGGTATGACGTGAAAGCACCTGCCATGTTCAACATAAGAAATATTGGGAAGACACTGGTTACCAGGACTCAAGGAACCAGTGAGTATCTGGTCTTGGTTTTTATTTTCCTTGAATTGGGCAGGGGTCTGGGTCTGGTACTGAGGTGGGAGGTTTCAAGGGAATAGCAGCTCTCCGTTGCAGGTTTAGCAACTGTTTTTTTTTTTTTTTTAAACAAGGTGATTCTTGTTTTACTGAGACGTGCATGGGTAGTTTGGATTTTTCCAACGAGCGCCGTAGTCTTGCGTTTGGAAATGCAGCAAAGGTTCATGTCTCTGTAATTTGCATTTCTGACATAAATGCACGACTTGGAAGACTTGACATTTGCTCACGTGGTTCCGAATGTTGACATTTGTTTCTTGTTTTGTAGAAATCGCGTCCGATGGCCTTAAGGGCCGTGTGTTTGAAGTGAGCCTTGCAGATCTGCAGAATGACGAAGTCGCATTTAGGAAATTCAAGCTAATTACTGAGGACGTTCAGGGCAAAAACTGCCTGACTAACTTCCATGGCATGGATCTCACCCGTGACAAAATGTGTTCCATGGTCAAAAAATGGCAGGTGAGACCAAAAGTTCCCTTCAAATGTTTAGTGTTACAGAGTAAGGACCAGGGCTGTCATGGAGTGGCAACAGGGAGGAGCTGACCATGGACTTCAAGTTTCAGGTCCTTAACTGTGCTCATGCAATGAGTGCCAACTCTGGGTTGGATCTTGTGACCTTAAGCAACAGTGAACAAACCACGGTCCTCCTTTTTCTACTTACCTTTTTAGGTTTTTGTTGCAGTTTAATATTGGATTATCATCAGATTAAGGTGTTTTTGGCTGTATGGTTAGTGGCTTGTTGAGAACCTCTAGGTCTTTGTGGGCAGTTGTCTTCAGAATATTTTTGGATTTCAGAAATAACTCATAAGTGATGGGACCAGCAGATGGTATAATGGTTACCACACTGAACTCCCACCTAGTTGACTGTGGTTTGAATCCCAGACCTGGAGCCCTGCAATGCTGTGAGAGTGTGTGCCCAAAGTCCTGAGAGAATGGAGGAGGAAGGATTGCAGCGTGCCCAGGGGCTGATGTGCTTACTGTCTCTTCTGGCAAGTGCATGCGTCCTATAGCAAAAATAACTTAACATTCTACAGGTGGGAAAACTTCTTAGTGCAAAAAAAGTGAATTCCTGATCTTGATTATCCCTGAATAGAGCCTAATAGTGGCAGTCTCTAGTAAGGTTGAAACCTCGGTTCCATTTTTCAGTTGGGTTCTTTTGGGAAAGTAACTTTAAAAACATGCCAAATGAGCCTTGGCTTCTTTATCCTTGGTAAAATTAAAGTGTCATCGAATTATGAGGATGAAACAAAAAAGGCCCACATAAGTATTCTTACATGTGCTTGACACAGAAAGGGCTCAGTAAGGGTATCATTTTAGGAAGTGTCTGTCTGACCACCAGTTTTAGGGTAATTCTCTATATGGGAATGAATGATGACAAAATGTTTCGGTCCCAGATGATACATCCTGATTATACCGTTACGTTTGTTTCTGACATTCCCCTAAGGCTTTTTGGTTGCATTTCTAGAAATAATTTTAAGGTCTCTGGGCTGTAATTATATCAATATTTGCAAAGTGCAGTGAAGGTTTGCTGCTACTTAAGATGGGTGTTTTAAATTTCTTCCATGAGCAAGAGAGGCAGTCACACACACGGCACTCCCAAACAGGGTCTTTTTAAGTTTTTGCCTGGGGATGCAGTGGTGCTAGTAGGAGAGAGACTGAGTTGGAAAGTGAGAACTCATCCCCTGGGGGAATGGGCACACCAGGGTTCCTTCTCTCATGTGCCTGGCTTGAAGAAGCCACTAGGCCTGGGATTCATCCCTGGTCAGCCATGTGGGATCCAGTGTCTTAACCAACAGGCCACCTGCTGGCCCCTGCAGGGCCTGGACACTGCGCTCTACTCCAGCGTCAGCCAGCCCAGGATCACATGGGTGCTTATGGCTTGGCATGAACTCAGGACCTTCCTGTGTGGGCCAGTCTAGAAGAATGTCCTGTTTTAACCACTGCAGCACCGCCAGCCCTGGGCTTCGCTTTTTAAATTGAGGCAATAATAGAGCCACTACCTGGATTTTTAATGTTATATTCCAGGTGTGAAACGGAATATTCTAGCATTACTTTACTATGGAACATATAGGACATTTTAAAAACTTGCAGTTAGGGCCAGCAGGTGGCATAGTGGTTAATGTACTGGACTCCCACATGGCTGACCACAGTTCCAGTCCCAGATCTGGCAGCTTCAAACTCACTCCTGGTGTGTGTCCTATGTGTGTGTCCAGGATCCTGAGAGGAGAGGGGTTTGTGGTGTGGTCATTTTCCCCTGCGGAGTGGTCATTTCTCACTTTCTGTCTTTGTCTCTGACGAGTGCATGTACCCTATAGCAAAAATCTCTTAAAAAAAAAATGCAGTAACTACAGCAATATTTCTATTTAGAGCATGTTTTTATTGGGTTGTTGAAAATGTCATGACAGGACAGCAATATTTCTATTTAGAGCATGTTTTTACTGGGTTGTTGAAAACGTCATGATAGGGACCAGCAAATGGCATAATGGTAACGTTGCTGGACTGCTACGAGATTGACCGTGGTTTGAGTCCTGGACCCGGCGGCTTAAAACTCACTCTGGGCGTGTACATGCGTGCCCAAAATCCTGAGAGAACTGGAGAGGAGATTGCCATTGGCCATCCTCCCTGGGGGGAAGGGTATTTCTCACTTTAAATGTGCCCTGTAGCAAAAAACTTTCTTTTAAAAAAAGTCATGTATTTTTGCATAGAAAAAAAGTCATGACTTCTGACAACCCAGTACAAGGTGAAATTGTTCAGTGCTGCTGTCCATATCATCGAATCCCATGGATCCTTTCTCAGAACCGTATCTTCCTCTTGCCTTGCGTAGTTGTATGGCTGGGGGGTGGATGGGCTGTCACAGGCTTACATGTGCAGATCTTGTATGCAAAAGCCGTAGGTGGGGGCAGTTCAGATAATGGTGTAGATGTTTTGTGATAACCGCCCATGAACCTATCATATGGTGAAAAAAGGAAGTTGAAAGTGTGATTCAGCTAGCCCACGGAGCAACATAGCCCACCTTAAACGTGCCTGGAAGACTTACATTAGCATGCAGTTGGGCAGAACCATCGAACAGCCTGTTGATAGTAAAAGTGTTGGATATTTTGTGGACCGAGTTTGGGGCCCTGCCTGGTGGTAATAGAGTGGATTGGAGAGGGAAGGCACGGCAGTCCACGGAACTTGGCATTTAACTGCCTATAAATTGTGAGTTTGGGGTAGTTTGTTCAGCTGCCTTTACGGAAGTAAGTCTAACTTAGATAAAGGGTATTGGTATTACAATACTTGTTTTTTATGACAGATCTGTATTTTTAACAGTCTTACAGTAGCGATCCTGTCTGCCCTTACCTTCCCAGTTAGCTAGGACTGGAGGCACACATACCACAGACCCTGACCCATTTAGGTTGGGCCAGAAATCAAACCCTGTGCGGATCACTGCGACTGGGCCTATATCATGTTTATGTTCTTTGTGTCACAGAAAGCAGTATTTGACATTCCAGCTTTTAGTGGAGGGGTGAAAATTGGCAACACTAGAGCCTCTTACATGTCGGTTTCTTTTTCCCCTAGACCATGATTGAAGCTCATGTCGATGTCAAGACTACCGATGGTTATTTGCTTCGTCTCTTCTGTGTTGGGTTTACTAAAAAACGCAACAACCAGATACGGAAGACCTCTTATGCCCAGCATCAGCAGGTCCGCCAAATCCGGAAGAAGATGATGGAAATCATGACCCGGGAGGTGCAGACAAATGACTTGAAAGAAGTGGTCAATAAACTGTAAGTGCTGTTTTCCTCACAGGCTCAACCCTGGGTAGCTGAGTGTTCCTCAGGTCAGGGAAAGCATGACACCGAGTGGAGTCAGACCTCTGAAGTCCTGTCTGTATCCTGCCAGCTATTCGTGAAATAGCTCAGGGCTGAGTCTGTAATCCTTACTCCTTTTAGGATTTTGGACATGTAAATATGCAACCGGGGCTGTTTTTTTCCCCCAGTTGCTGGCTCCAGGACTCGAACTGTACAACCAGCCATGTGGGATCCTGCTGCCTTAACCACTGGGCCATGGGCTAGCTATGTTTTCTGTCTTTGGATAAAGCTGCCTCATAGGAGATAGTGAGACTTGAAGGACAAGATGTGTCTTTGCCTTAATTAGAAAATATACTGAATAGATCAAACTTTTCACAACTATATGTATTGGGAATATGTGATGAAAAAATGTTTCGGTCCCAGCTGATGTACAGTGATAAGTTACATTTTTCTGATGTTCCCATGCAGCATATAGTTTGCTAAGAGAATGTAACAGAAAAAGCAGGCGGCTTGGATTCAGAGGGATTAAATGCTAATTTTGCCTACTACTAACTACCACCTAGCTATGTAATTCAGATAATCTTTTAACTGATAGAGGACAGTGGTATTGTAGGTGACCTTAACATGAGGATGTAGGTTAAATGGGGTAGGTATTACATTTGTAGGTTTATTCTAAGACTTCTTTCTTTTTAAAAGAAATGGCTTTCCACTTAGGTGAGAGAACCAAGACTTCTAACTTGTCCTTCCTGGTGGTTTGCAGGATTCCAGACAGCATCGGAAAAGACATAGAAAAGGCCTGCCAGTCCATCTACCCTCTCCACGATGTCTTCGTCAGGAAAGTCAAAATGCTGAAGAAGCCCAAGTTTGAATGTAAGTCGAAATCACAGGAGCCCAGCAAGAAAGAATTGTGAGGCCAAATATGTTGGGATTTTTTTTTTTTTTTTCTGAGGCCAGCTGATGGCTGTTCCCATTTCTGGTAATGCTTATGTGGTATTGAAGCCCACTGCTTCAGGATACGATACTGTAACTTTTTTTTTTTCTTCCTTTTAGTGGGAAAACTCATGGAGCTTCATGGTGAAGGTAGTAGCTCTGGAAAAGCTACTGGGGATGAGACGGGCGCCAAAGTTGAACGAGCTGATGGATATGAACCACCAGTCCAAGAATCTGTTTAAAATTCAGACTTTTAATAGTGACAAATAAAAAGTCATTTGTGACAGGTTCCATCTGAACATTCTTTTTAAATAACCTGAAAGCTTGGTGACTCAGATACTCTGATTTGAAAATGAAGTTTTCTGACCTGTATGAGTTTTATTAAATAGTTGAGAAGGGGTGTTGTTTATCATTTGTTTACCAGTTGTGCTCTAGACATGGTGTAGGGTTTTTTCCCCCTCTTGTAATTTGCTGTCAGTGTATGTGTTTGTCACAAAGTGAGAAAACACCCTCCTGGGGGGATTGCCCACCACAATCCCTTCTCAATGATTTTGGGCAGATACATAAACCAAGCCTGTTTTTCAGGCTGGTGAGTCCAGGACTCAGACCACAGACGGCCATGTGGAATCCAGCCGTGCGCTGTTTGGTGCTGCTGCCTGGCCCGTGTAGATGGGTTTGATGGAAGGACACCATTTATTACATACCTTAGGTTCTCAAGCCATCTGCAGGATGAGAAAACATGGTTGAACTCCCCTCAGATCCTGACTCAGTGGTTCCAGGTGATGCCACAAGTGTGCTTGTGTGACAGGTTCTCAGCCGACGGCCTGGACAGTGCTTTAAGAACCACCGCACTAGGCTGAATGATGGGAAAGGCCTTTCAGTGTTTTTCTGGTTTTGATTTTAAAGCTGAATAAAGCTGGAGAAGCTGGTTGCTGGTCTTTTAGGTGTTTGGTGCCACCCACTTCTGTTTTATACCTCCCAAACGAATTCTCATTTAGCTGACCTTGCTTCCTGTAGTCCCTCCTAAGTTGAACTGTTCCCATACTGCTCTGCGGCCTGTCACTGGCTGTACACACTGAGCTGTGCCGTCGAGCACCGTGGTTCTCTTTGGTCAGTGTCCTGTTTCCAATCAGCACACAAACAAGCCCTGTCCTCTCCCAGAGCAGTATATGTAACCACCTTAAACCAAAGCTCAAAAGGTTTTTTTTTTTTTTTTTTACCGTTTTTATTTTCCCTTAGTTTTTTAAGAGGTTTTTGCCTCAGGGTGCATTGGGCTCTGGGAGAAACTGAGGGAAAATGAAAAATCACCCCCTAGGGGGATGGCCATGCTGCAGTCCTTTTCTCCATTCTCCTACCACAATCTTGGGCATGATGTACATGCACCTGGCAAGACAAAGTGGTCAACATGTAAGAGTCCAGCGACATTAACTGCTACGCCATCTGCTGGTCCGTTTTTTTAAATGTACAATTTTACTTTGAAAAAAATCTGCTTCACTTAAGCTTTCCCCCATGCCACTCCAGGAAAGCTGTCAGATTACCAGTGACTGTTTCCTAGTCCAGAGGTCTGTTCTTGGTCTTCACTTGTGATACCTGACAGTTGGTTTTATTTTTAAATTTCCAGACCTTCACATCAGCGTTTTCTTATTTTTAGAAGTTTTTCCTATAGGGCATATGCACTCACCAAAGACAGAAAGATGGCCACTGCAATCCCTTCTCCATTCTCTCAGGGTCTTGCACACACACGCACCTGGTGCAAGATTAAGCCACCGGGTCTGGGACTTGAACTGCAGTCAACTACATGGGAGTCCAGTGACATAGCCATTATGCCAACTGCTGGTCCTCTTCTTTTTTTATACATCAGGGTTTTCCCACATCACTACTGTTAACTATTGATCGTTCATCTCTTAGACGTTTGCTCTCCAGGATTTGGGGCATACATGTACACATGCCTAGTGTTTCTCAAGCTACCGGGTCTAGGACTCAAAGTGTGCTTGGCTATGTGGGATCCGGTCACCTTAACAGCATGCCACCTCTTCCTCTTGGCCTTCATTCAGCCTGCTGCTGGTAGTCGTGTCCACCGTAGATTTTAGGTGGGGGCTCTAGCTGTACGAAGGTCATCTGGTAGAACGATAGTGTTCTCTGAGTTTGTGCATGAAGAGTGATTTGTAAGTACATTTTATACCCAAAGGTCACTTGCTGAACATAAACTTCTTGGCTCAGTGAGTGTTTTAAGTATGTACATCTGTTTTCATATTGCTTAATGCACTGCTAACAAAAAGTATGATCGTCTTTTCTTTCCCTTACAAATCACTTAATGTAGATCTTGTGTTTGGTTTTGGCCATAGGGCATGTGCACTTGAGGGAGAGAGACAGAAGGAAAGTGAGAAATCACCCCTGGGGTGGCTGTGCCACAATCCCTTTTGCCTCCATTCTCTTGGGATTTGGGGCACGTGTGCTCAAGTGCCTGGTGTGAGCCTTGTGCCGCTGGGTCTAGGACTCAAACCACAGATGGCCATGTGGAAATCCAGCACTCCAACCACCATGTCACATGGCCTCACAGATGCAGTGTGAGTGTCCTACTGCTGTCCACCTACACATCTGGGCCCGCCGACGCCCTCTGACCAGCAGAGACGCAGGCCTGTGTGTGCCCCGCGTCCACCCAGGGTGCTCTGTGCAGTGGGCGGCCTTCCACCACTGTGTGTTTACACAGCCCTGACATCTTCACGTCTAACAAGCAGACAGCTGTCTCCGGTCTCGCACACCGAGACTCTGGCAACTACTTTTGCTGTGAGTAATAAAGTCCTTTGTTTCTGACCTAGGAGTCTCATGTTTTCTGCTAGGGCGGCTAGCCACAGGCTCGAGGCCCTCTGGAAGCTGCTGGCACCTGCAGCCTGGGGGACCAGGCGTGAACGGCAATGCTCCTGAGTCAGCCATCTCTCCAGTGAAGTGCTTGGCATGATTGGAGAGGGAACTGCAGCTAATTCTTTCATCTTAATTGTAAAGAAAAACTAAACACGGGCCAGCATTTTGGTATTAAAGTGGTTAACTTTTGTTACAAGTAGGCACATAACCAGTAGGTAATACTCCTTACTGAATTTAGGATTTTGAATCATTACTTCTCCTGAAATATTCAATAATTCACTGAATTACTGCTTAATTTTCAGTAGACATAAATAAAGAATCCATGGTCTACAAAGAACTAGGATTCCTTTTTTTAAAAAAAGCCTAGAATGTGTCCCAAACTCTGAAATATACATGTGTTAGCTTAACAGTGCTTGAATCAATCTGTGAAACTCAAATACTAACGACCTTGGGGAACCAGCAGTTAGCGTAATGGCTATGTTGCTGGACTCCCACGTAGTCGACCGTGGTTCACGTCCTGGACCCAGTGGCTTAGAACTCACGCCGGGTGCGTGTGCGTGCGTTCCCAAGAGGAGAGTGGAGGAGAAGGGATTGCGGTGTGACCATTCCCCCGGGGGGTGATTTCTCGCTTTCTGTCTCTATGTCTCTCTGTCTGGCGAGCGCACGCGCCCTATAGCGAAAACCTCTCCAAAACAAAACAAAACAAAAAAACAAACTAAGGACCTTGTTTTGTTCTACTTTTGTATAAAGATCTAGATTTAAGACTGCCCTGCTGTGGGACCAGCAGGTGGTGAGGTGGTTAAGGTGCTGGACTCCCATGTGGCTGACCACAGTTGCCGGACCTGGTGGCTTGCTTTCTTACTCCACCCCCCTCTCTCTCTGGTCAAATTAAAAATAAATGAATGAATAAATAAAATAATGACACACCTGGACAAGGTCTGATGTTCCAGACTTCGATGATCCCCATTAAACAGAAACAGGACTCCCTCGTAATAAATCAGCTGGCATTTGAGTTTCTAGATAACACCCATATAAACTGTCTACATGAAACGGAAAGGCTGACCAGACTTTCCTGCTTGACAGAGAAAAATTCAGGGCGTGAGTTTATTCTGGGCAACTGTTTCTGATCCTAAGCGTGGCAACATTGCTAGACCAACATAACAGATGGTTCGTTGTACTTGCTTGATGGCGAAGGAGAAATGAATCACTTCAGCCCAAGTGGAAAAAGGCCTGGCTTGGGACTCTGCAGAGCCAGGTTTCCTCGAGTCTCTGCCCGCTCCTAAAGGGCCTTCGTAAGTCATTTTACCTCTGCGGGCTGAACTCGGGTTTCCAAGGACGCACTGCTGTGGTTTAACGGCCTGAGCTTGCAGTTAAGGGAGTGGCCCCTAGATGGTGGTGTTGCTCTGAGTTAGGCTGCACGTTTCTTCTCTAATTACAGTGAAGTAAGAAGGCATAGGTTAGAAAATGATTTCTCATTAGTTCTGAAAAAAGTCACTGTTAAGAATTCATTTGATGGCATTCAAAATGGCATTGGATCGTGAATCACATGGCCCGTGTGCATCTGACATTAATTAAAAAGAATAAACCATTAATGATGATACCAAAGTCAACATATTCCCTTATAATTAGTCCGTATACCCATCACTGTCTTCTCTAGGTATATTTATCTAAACTTAAGGCACTGAGTAAAAACTGAACAAGGACTGCTGAGAGTACTGATTTACGACCTTACAGAAAGATGACTCATATTTCTAAAATGCCAGTTTTAAGATCAAACTTTGATAAATGTGTGGATTTCTTTCATTTTGAACATTACAGTCAGTATCCACAACCTGTGATTTCCATGAACACAATGGCAGTAGTACTGTATTACTCTTCCAGCATGTGTACAAGGGCATCTTTATAGAAATATGCTGGCTTGGGCCAGCAGGTGGCATGGTGGCTAAGGCTCTGGACTCCTGTGTGGCTGACCACAGTTCAAGTCCTGGAACCCGTGGCTTAAAAATCACACTAGGCAGGTGTATGTGCATGCATGCCCAAAATCCCAGGAGGAGAATGGAGAAGGGACTGTGGTGTGGCCTTCTTCCTGGGGGAGGACTTCTCACTTTCCCTCTATTTCTGTCTCTCTCCAGTGAGCACACACCCTATTGCAAAAATCTTTATATATATATATATGTATA